AGCAGACTGCGAGGTTAGGTTTAGTAGAATAAGTTGACATAGGCCTATACTTGCAAAGTTTCTTATAGTCAGTATGCTGTATGTTGTGGACCCATCAAAATAAAGTGTTAGAAGATATTAAGTGTACTAATACCCTAATGAGTGCTAGCTGACATTTAGTTACTTACTGTTAGTAGAATGTCTAAAGTGGACTATCAAAATAAAGTGCTACCATAAATTAAATTAAATTAAATAATGAAAACAAAATAAGGTCCCACTTTATATTAAGTAGCCTTAACTATAATGTACTTACATCAAAAAATAAGTACAATGTACTTAATGTGTTCATATTGTATTGCAAAACACATTTGCTGTTATTGAGGTGGGATACGGTTAGGGACAGGTTTGGTGGTATGGGTAGGTTTAAGGGTGGGTTAAGGTGTAAGGGATGGGTCAACAGTGTAATTATAAATGTAATTACAGAAATTAATTACATGTGGAATTACATGCAGGTATTTTTTAAATATAAGTACAATGTAAAAACATGTATGTACACAATAAGTGCATTGTACCAAATTATTAATTTAAATGTAAGTACATAGTAGTTAAGGCCACTTAATATAAAGTGGGTCCCAAAATAATTTCCTTAGGGGGTTTTAAAGGTAGTGGAGTCTGGCTATTTTCATGATGAGAAAGATTAAAATACAATCAAATGTACATTTTAAATATATTTTTGCTAGGGAAAAAAAGAAAATACTCTTCAAAACTTAAATTAAATGAACATATCCTCTGATGGTTTCAAAGAGAGTGGATCCTGGTATGCATTCATGAATTTGACCGACACTTTTATCCAGAGCAATTTATGCAGCATATAAGATAAACATCTCAAACAATAATATGCAACATTTTGGGAGGTGATCACACAATAAGTCCACAAGAAGATGCTAAAAATAAGCATTGCATTGTGGGACACAATTTATCAAGCACATTCCAATCCATCCATACAATAAATTTCATATACTGCACATTTCAATATACCTCAGAAAAGCGCAGTATGGATTCATATCGCACAACAATCAAAAAGTTCTCACTTGGATTCATGTTGTGGGTGTTTTGTAAAGTGTGCGTCTCTTTACTTGATAAATACATATATTTATATCCAAGTCCTTTCAGCAAAGATTAAAAGCACAGCACTATCTCAGTCGCCTCGCTGCGCTCTTATCTTCTCCAGATTCCTGCTGATGGATAGCGTCTGTGGACGACCTGCTTACTGACACATGAACACCAGAAGCTTCAGGTCCCACCTGAGCTGAAAAAACTCATTAAACTTTATCGTAGAAATGTGCTGGTTATCTTACAAATGTTCCTCTGCATGTTTAGAGGATGAAGGAGATAAAAGTGTTTTCACATCGCCAAACAGAAAACACATTCACTCGCGCTTCAGCTTCAAACTGGACTATAAATCGCTGCTTCTGGCACCGGGAACAGCGGCATTAGACAATATGTTTCTGATTAAAAATAGAAGAAACAACTGCAACAAATCTTCAGATGCTTTTAAACAACTGCTGCAGATTTTACAGCATTATAAAACCAACAGCAGAAGAGGGTTTGTGAGCTGCTGCATCTCTCTCACACACACACACACACACACACACAAATCGACCTCCACAGGCTCTTCTGTTACGAGATAACCAACACAGGATTTCTCAGGCCAGTGGTTCTCAAACTGTAGGCCTCAAAACACATTTAACACAGCAGACTAAAATAATAAAATAATAATAAAACAATGAAATACTTACATTTTTGTTTAGAATTTTATATTATATTACTTTAAGTTATTTTAATTTTATAAGTCAAATTTAAATTAGCCTACACACTGTATAAAATATAATTAAATATACAACCAAAAACCGGTCCAACATCAAAAAAAAAAAAAATCCCACATACTCATTATTCTTGCAAATGGATCAAAAATAGATTGAGTCCCTCACAACGTGAAGGTCAACTGAAATGTTGTGAATGAATAAACCTAAATTTTTTTATACATTTGCAAGTACGGATAGTGTGCGGGATTTATAATTTTTTTGTTAAAATGCATGTGCATAAAATATGTAAATCTGTACTGAATCTGTATTTTTTGCTTGTTTAAGTAAAAGTTAAGCACTGTCTAAGGCTAATACATCAAGAGCTTTAATATAGAAGGAAACATTGTGTTGTGACTTGATCTACTTAGAAAAACAAACAGAGTAAAGAGAAATGTAATCGGTTACTAACACTGCTACAGTGCTTACACTGCTAAGGAAAAAGCCTTTTTTTCTCCTGAACTGAAGCCTTTTTTCAATCACGCAGTGAAACTGCATGGCCATTGGTTCGCGCAGTGTATAAAAAACAAACCAATGGCTTGGCAGCGGAGCTGCGCCAACAAAGCCCGCCCGCATCTGGATATATAAGCGGGCGTTTGCTACAGGATTCTCAGGTTACTTCGACTGAAGCGACGACTGAGCCATGCGGCTACATAGCACGGCTAGCAACGCAGCACTCGTTCCCGTATCTCAGGGAACCGAGGTTAGGTTAGTAACCGAGTACGTTCCCTGTCTATACTACATTCGTACTGCGTCTGCTAAGACGTTATGGGAACACAGTACAATCACGCCGTGTTAAGGTAGAGGAATGACTATAAGTATCATAACTTCTGTAAGCAACAATGCCTATAGAGAATTTAACAACAATCCAAGGCTAAGACGGGCTGAGCTTCTTGAGGTCACACCAGGCCTGGTTAATTGTTCCAGAGGATTCCTGCAACTTCGGCACCCAGGGGTCGAGAGCTGACAGGTGAACTAATGCCAGAGAGCTTGAGCGTGATATGGTGAAATTGACCTTGAGTCCCAGGCACTCCAGGGGGCTGAGGAGGAGGGTCCTGTGTGATATTAGTTCTGCCTCCGACTGGGCCAGAACGAGCCAGTCATCGAGGTAGTTGAGAATGCGGATTCTCATCGGTCTCAGAGGGGAGAGAGCCACGTCCATGCACTTCGTAAAAAGTGCGGGGTGCCAGGTGACAGCCCGAAGGGAAGGACCATGTATTGATAAGCCACTCCCTCGAAAGCGAATCTCAAGAATCGCCTGTGACGGGGGGCTATCTGCATGTGAAAGTAAGCATCCTTCAGGTCCAGAGAAAATAACCAATCTCCTGAGCGAATTTGGGTAAGGATCTGTATCAGTGTAGTCATCCTGAACAACCTTTTCATGGGGGCGTGATTCAGGCATCTGAGATCGAGGATGGGCCAGAGGCCACCATCTTTTTTAGAGAAGAGGAAGTAACTGCTGTAGAAGCCTGACTCACTCTGAGCTGGACAAACCGTTTCTACAGCTAATTTTGCCAGCAGATTCATCACCGTGAGCGTCCTTGCTTTGCACCAAGGTGGGGACCACGCCGCTGAAGCGCGGGGGACTTCGAGCGAATTGGAGTGAATATCATTTTTTTATTATCCCCATGACCCATCTCGACACCCCGGGGATGGCCTGCCAGGCCTCGGCCCGTGTGGCGAGGGGTTGAATTAACTCGAGTGACTGGCTGAATGTCGGGTCCAATGCAATCTTGGGTCGGGGTCCCTGGCGCTTAGGAAGAGGGTAGCGTCTGGCTGAGCGGGAGTGTCCTCGCGTCTGCTGAGCCTTAACGGCCTGAATGGCGGGGTGTCGGCAGGTGCTGGCTTTGCGGGCTGCTGAGTCGGTGTAGACTTAGGGCGACTAGAGGCAGGAGCAGAGCTGGAGCGCTTAGGCAGGAAATGTCTCATAGCCTGGGACGATTTCTGTGCCTCCGTGAAGCGCTCGGCGAATCCACCGAACGCCGGTCCAAAGAGACCCTTGGGAGAGACTGGAGCATCAAGGAAGGGGATCTTATCTGCCTCCTTGATCTCCGTTAACGTCAGCCATAAATGGCGCTCGAGCACCACAAGGCTGGCCATCGATCTCCCGATCGCCTGATGAGATCAGGTCACTCGCGCCGGCAGAGGGACGCTGGTCAGTCCAGGAGAAAAGGACAGGAGAACTCTCTCTCTGGGGCGAGGGCAAGGCATGTGGGATCTGGGCCGATGTGAGCTCGCTTGCAGCCGGTCGCTCGAGTCCTCTGCCTCTGCCGCTGTTTTTTCCTCACAGGTCCCTGGGAGGAAGAAAATGGGAGGGTGCGAGGGACGGAGTCGCTCTCTGAAAAGAAATTAATCCGCGAGCGACGAGATGCGAGACTGAAGTTATCGCAGTGAGAACACTCAGTTCCCGTGAGCGCAGCTTCCACGTGGGATTTCCCCAAGCAGGAAACGCACTTGGTGTGGCCGTCATCGGCATGCAGGGGAGACCCTCACGAACCGCAGTAACGGCGCGGCATTTGCAACAACACCAAGCTCTTTTAGAAAGCTCTTTTAGGGCAGCCGGATGGTGGCAGGAGAAAAGGACTGGAACTGCTGCATCGCTAAAGCGGCGGAGAAGCAGTTTAGCCGTGCTGAGAGGTCCCAATTCCAGCTGCGAAGGTGTGTCAATGGCAAGCAGGCTTTGGATCAGCGTAGAGCGTAGTCGTCGCTGAAGGAGAAGAAATCTGAGAATCCTGTGGCGAACGCTCGCTTATATAGCCAGATGCCCCGCCCATTCTGGCGGGCTTTGACTGACTTTGTCGCTCCGCTGCCGAGCCATTGGTTCGTTTTTTATACACTGCACGAACCAATGGCCGTGCAGTTTCACTGCATGATTGAAAAAAGGCTTCAGTTTAGGAAAAAAAAGCTTTTTCCCATAGCGTCTTAGCAGACGCAATACGAGTATAGTATCAACAGGGAACTGTCTGTTTGTGTGTCAGTGAATCAACCCACACTAAAATACAGACCCACACTAATGAATACAAAACTCTCCTCCTACATTTCTATTTCTATCATATGAAAAATTTAAAGCACCAAACAAAAAGCACAACAAACACACAAAGCCAAAACAGCCATGAGGCATCAGCATGCCTCCTTACCAAAATGAACAAACAAACTTACCTGGTCGATCACCTGACAGCAATTACATGCCACATGAACACCTGTCACATGTCTTTATATCATCCTGCCCTTCAAAACAAAAGCTCCTAGGGACCACTTAAGCCTATATAAAAGCATCTAAAAAGTAGCATGTCATGGGACCTTTAAACGTTAATTAAAAGTTGAAATAAAAGTTGAAATGCAACTGTATAAACTAAATAGTTTGGAAGCCTCCGACCAGGAGGAATAAAACAGAAGATTGCCTGAGCTCTTGCATTACAATTACCTGACAGACTTTAATCCTTTATGGAAACGTTGCCATTTACCCTAATTTACATTTTAAGGGAGTGAACATCATGTGAATAAACTACTTTGTTAGCCGCTCTTTAACACGAACCCGATGTAAACAGCTTGTGCACAATATATATGTATATATATATATATATATATATAATTTGTGTTCCGAAGATGAACGAAGGTCTTACGGGTTTGGAATGACATGAGGGTGAGTAATTAATGACAGAATTTAATTTTTGCGTGAACTATCCCCTTAATAGTGTAGTAACAAGTCTGGGCAAACTAGGCACCAATCAGAAGCCGCATTTTTATGATGTCATCATGTAGACTTCTTACAAAGTATTTTACAGTATTTTAAAACTACAAAACACTAAAGCATTTTGATACAAAATATGAAGGCATTTTTATCAACTCTATCAAATACAAATGACAAATTTATATTTGAAATACATGAATCATAAATACTGCCCATCCCTGCGCAGAAGTATGCAAATACATATTTGACAGGCAGGCAGGACAGCCTATTGTAATGTTTGGACCGAACATTTTGATTGGACGAACATTTTATGGTCCTACGCCTTCAACAGATGACATAAATACATGTCAATAAAATTATACCACCTAATTTAATGATTGCTATATCGGGATGTGAAGAGACTTTAAACCAGCATAACAAAAAATGTTTTTGGACCAAATTGCCTGCCTGCCTTTAATCATGTGTTTTTTTATTGTTTTATTTTACAGCTTCACGAACCCAAATGTGTGTCCTAATTTCACCTTTACACATAATCTCATCTCATCTCATTTATATTATCTTCCCTCTCTTATTCTTCATTCTTTTGCTGTGAGTCGCATCAAAGCCAGAGTGATTGGAAGAGAAACGCGAGTGAAAGCAGGCGCTCGCACGCTCACAAACCCGTCTTAACAAGCTAATTAAATCTGTTTTTTACAACACTCCCTGCTTGTTTATTTGTGTACCGCCGGAGAAGCTGAAATTACACACACCAAAGACTTGTCTGAACTTCTGATCTAGCCTATTCCGCGGCACACACTGCGCTTCTGTGTGTCGAAGCATCCTAATGAATCCAACCCACGGTGACGTAAGCTGTACGAGAGGTTAAAGAGCAGCTAAAGTGCTGCGAAACAGCTACCACACAAAGAATGCTTAATCAAATGTTTTAATGAAACTACTGAAACAAGGGGCATATTTAGTGATTTGGGGGCCCCAAGCAAAATATATGAATGAGGCCCTATGTATTTGCACACATTTACAAATTTAGCCTTGAGGTTCCTTTTTTTGTTGCGATGCTTGCTGCTGCATAATGGTGCCCCACAGTTGTGTCCAGTGTTTCTACATTTTTCATGTACATGTTATAATGGCTTTATTTCATGTTGTAGACCAGAAAATAGCAATTGATTTACAGTTTTCACAAAAACAAAATAAACATCACAATTGAGCCTTTAAACAATTTTTTTAAGAAAAGAGATGAGTCGGAAGTATAAATTATTATATTAATTTAAAACGGGGTTATGTGGGTGGATTTTCGCATTGGTCTGAACAAAAACTGCAGACGTGATTATTGAAAATGCACATTGATTCTCTGCCAGCAGGAAGCACTTTTGGAACATCAGAAATACAGCGGTTTCCCCAGTAAAGACTGTAAACAAAGCAGCGCTGCACTCATAAACGCTACTTTATCAGATAAAACGAAAATGCCATGGAAAGTTTTCTGAAGACAGTCGGTTCCCTTCATTCATTAATCTAAAAACTTGAATTAGTGAGAATGAGAAAAGTGTGAAAAAATATAGCCTATATTAAGGAGAAAAGTCCACTGATGACTATGATGAGTTACCAGCGTAAGCCTGTGTGCCAAAGGGTGTCTAATTCTAAACTTTAAAATACACTTATTTTAGTTATTTTAACTACACATTTAAACGTACAATATGTAAGATTTCACCGCTAGAGGGCGCGCATTCAAAACAAACAAAGGCGTAGTTTGATGACGCCGTGACTGAGTGTGGAATCACGGGAGTTGTCGTCTTCATCCCCATAGTCGACGCAATCCGATGGGACTCAGGCAGAAATCATGTTCATGGATGAGCTAATGCAGAGGTCCTCAACCACCGGGTCGCGACCCACTACCGGGCTGTGGAAGAATTGCAACAGGGTTGCAAGAACGTTCTTGGAAAAATGTGTATAGATATGACACTCTGTTCAAGGGGCATATTTAGTGATTTGGGGGCCCCAAGCAAAATATATGAATGAGGCCCTATGTATTTGCACACATTTACAAATTTAGCCTTGAGGTTCCTTTTTTTGTTGCGATGCTTGCTGCTGCATAATGGTGCCCCACAGTTGTGTCCAGTGTTTCTACATTTTTCATGTACATGTTATAATGGCTTTATTTCATGTTGTAGACCACAAAATAGCAATTGATTTACAGTTTTCACAAAAACAAAATAAACATCACAATTGAGCCTTTAAACAATTTTTTTAAGAAAAGAGATGAGTCGGAAGTATAAATTATTATATTAATTTAAAACGGGGTTATGTGGGTGGATTTTCGCATTGGTCTGAACAAAAACTGCAGACGTGATTATTGAAAATGCACATTGATTCTCTGCCAGCAGGAAGCGCTTTTGGAACATCAGAAATACAGCGGTTTCCCCAGTAAAGACTGTAAACAAAGCAGCGCTGCACTCATAAACGCTACTTTATCAGATAAAACGAAAATGCCATGGAAAGTTTTCTGAAGACAGTCGGTTCCCTTCATTCATTAATCTAAAAACTTGAATTAGTGAGAATGAGAAAAGTGTGAAAAAATATAGCCTATATTAAGGAGAAAAGTCCACTGATGACTATGATGAGTTACCAGCGTAAGCCTGTGTGCCAAAGGGTGTCTAATTCTAAACTTTAAAATACACTTATTTTAGTTATTTTAACTACACATTTAAACGTACAATATGTAAGATTTCACCGCTAGAGGGCGCGCATTCAAAACAAACAAAGGCGTAGTTTGATGACGCCGTGACTGAGTGTGGAATCACGGGAGTTGTCGTCTTCATCCCCATAGTCGACGCAATCCGATGGGACTCAGGCAGAAATCATGTTCATGGATGAGCTAATGCAGAGGTCCTCAACCACCGGGTCGCGACCCACTACCGGGCTGTGGAAGAATTGCAACAGGGTTGCAAGAACGTTCTTGGAAAAATGTGTATAGATATGACACTCTGTTATTTATTTATGTTAATGATTGTTCTAATTATTCTGTATTTTCTTTGTATGCCGTTGATATGGAGTAGCAATTTGACAATTTCATGTTAAATAAGTAAATGAAAGATTGCTCTGATCTGTCACATATTAGGAGTTAAACGTTACTCACGTGCTGTTCTCGCACACAATCAAAGCGCACACAAGAGACGTGTTTCAGACAGCGCGGAAATACCAAGTTGCGTATACATACACATAAAATTAGCCTGTCAAAAACCCTTTACGGCATTCTCTGTGTTTTAAATATTTTTTTTTTCTTTTGCTTATCCGAAAAAAATAGTCCAATCTGTGACTCAAAAAACACAATATAATGCGTTGTTCCACTATATAATGCTATTATATATATATATCTCCATAACCAAACCCGCCCCACCCCATTAACATCGTAGTATGAAGCAGAGTGAGGCAGAAAGCCGTAGAAGCGAAACGAGGCTGCTGAAGCAATTGCTAATGAGAGACGAGAGTGACACATGGCTCGAAAGCAGCGGAGCTTTTATTATGCCACACTTTAGCGCTTCCGCTCCTTCGGTCGTGCATATGTGGGGTAAAGCAGCACTGTTTTATCATGCTTGATACGTTTGAAAGTTCTGTTATAATGCTACTCTGTGCGGTCGTCACCTGTTTAATAAAACGCACAAAATATCAAAGCGTCTTTGGTGTTTCCATGTTTTCTACAAAACAAAACCGGAAATCGGGGGCTTATGACGTCATTGGCAGGCGACACAATGACACTATTTAACTGTGTCACTAGTTAAAATTGCTTATTTCTCTGGATTTAAACATTCTTCGAAACATTTGGGATAATGTAAGTACACAAGTCAGCAAAATATATAACACTGTTCTAGTGGTTTTTGAATATTTTAACAAAAAAATCGTACATATTGTGCTTTTAAATGAAAATGAAAAAGGCGGGCCCAAGGCGGTTGCCTACCTTTGCCTAATGGGTAAGTCCGCCTCTGACTGACACTATACTGACTATTTTTATCATTTCATTTGTCCCTAAAGTCCACTTATAATGCTAGTCAAGATACCACCATCAAAGCCTTAATTCGTTTTTCACCACCTTCTCTCTGACCTTTACAAGTTAACAGGCTGTTTTTGCTGTTGTATCTCAAAGATTTACATATATAAATGACCTCTGTTATGTTCATTTGTCTAAACACCATTTACTATCATTAATCAGGTCAGCTGTCTTAGCTAATGCTAACTTCATAGCTAGAATCTTACGTGAGTGACATTTATCTTGATATTTAAGTGATATTTATCTTAATTGATCTTTTCTTCACACATCGAATGCGATTCACTTACAATGTCGTTTCCTTGGTAACCAAACACACTTTTAATTAAATCAATACATAGCCTATAAATCAACCCCAACTTTTAATAAAACTTTACTTGAAGCTAAATTGTTTGGTTTGTTGTAAATGACTCCACAGCTGTGGGACAGTCATTTTCACACAATGAAT